AAAAAAAAAAAAAAAAAGAAAAGTTTACTAGAAGAAGCAGTGCATGACTTCAACCCAGGGTCTGTAAAGATCAGGCATTTCAGCGTAGCTTTTCAGTGCTTTCCAGTAAAGCTGATTCAATCAGGTGTTAGATAAAAAAGTGCCAAACCAGCCCCACTAAAGTGCCTGATCTTTACAGACACTGAAAAGCCTGGTAAGAGTAATGCACTGCCTCTTCTGGGCATAGGCACAGAAACGCGCCAAGTTTAAAGTAAAGCATCGGGGGGGGGAGGGGGAGGAAGGGAAATTATGCCTGCAAGCACCCACCGGCAAAAAATTAAAAAATTAAAAAAATAAAATAAAAAAAAGTGAGCACCTATGCCGTGGGCCCTCAGCTCTCGGTCCTTGGCCCGCCTCCTTGCTCTTGGCCCCTGGCCCTGATCATCCCTTTTGGGCCCCGACCCCAAGCCCTCAGGGCCTCAGGCCACCTCTGTGGCCTGTATAGTTTTATATCCTGGTCCTCTCAGCCTCCTCTTCCCTGTCATAAGCCCTTGGCAGGGGTCACAAATACTTTGTGCTGCTCAGGCACCCCTGTGGCTTTAAGTCTCTGTGTGCTCCCCCAGGCACCCCACTCTGGCTCAAGTCTAGGTGCGCCCTTTAAGTGCCCCCGGCTTCCTCATCTCCCCTTTATAGCCACTTGTATAAAAATCTAACCCCAAAATAAGTCCTCTGGCTATAACACAACTTCCCAACTGGGTCTGAGCACAAACCCCAGCTCCTTAGCTATATTACTCAGCTCTCCCCTACCCTGAGTCCTGTTCCCCTGCAAGTCAGCAACTTTCTATTCGCATTACTTGCAGGGTCTTAGCCAGGAGCTCCTCTGCAGCTCTCCTGCCCCAGAGCTCCTTCCTCAGCAGCTCCCAGAGCCAGACTGCCTGCTCAGGCTCAGGCTCAGGCTCCAGGTTTATATAGCTGGGAGCCACTCCCCACTTTAATCATGTGCCTCCTCCAGCTCTGCACAGGGTTTCCCTACCAATCAGGGACCAGGCTGCCCTCCTGCAACCACAGCCAGCTGAGCCTTCTGGGTCCTCTTAAAGGGGCAGGAACCTCCTGGCTCCTGATACTGTTCCCTCTCCTCCCGTTACCTTGCTCCTCAAGTAACAAGTTATGGGCTCCCTATTACAATTCCCAAGACATAAGCATCCCATAGCAACGTTGTGTCCTGGCTAGGACAGCCCTTAGCACACCCCAGATGTGTTTGGACATGCTCCAAACTTGGGGATATGCCAGTAAGGCCATCCCCAGCATCCACTTACAGGCAGAACAGAGACCAGTGCCTCAGGACAGGCCCCAGGGCCCTGAGTGGCCTAAGCAATTTACTTCCAGGTCTGAGTTATAGAAACACAAGTAGTTAAGGGGGGCATGCTCAGTAGCCTCCCAAGCAGGATATACTACTGCAGATGTATAGACATGCATTATGCCAGTTGCATAACTTGAGACAAAGGTGGCCTTAGTTGGATATTCAGCCCATAGTGTAGTTAGACCAGTTTCAGGCCTGCTCTCATTCATGCCACTGGTACCCTGAGCCAAGAGAAGCACAGACCAAATGTAATATGCTAACTCCAACCCATGCCCTAGATTTAGAGCTAGAAGCCAAACTATGGTAAAACTGTTACACTACATGGGATTTTTTCTCAGAGGGCTGTTTCCACACACTCTGAGGCTCCTCAGTCAGAAGCAAAGGGCCTTGTTGTAACTGAGCATCAGACCCAATGAACTGAACAGAGTCAGGGCCCATCTCCAGGCTACTGAAATCTGAGTTTTCTGCATGCTCACAACACTAAATAACAATCACAAACATAATCTGTGTTTTCTCTTGACCACGAGGTGGCTCCACTTCCCGGTTTCAACAGCTTCTGGTGCTCTGGGACAGTGGTCTCCAAAGTGGGGTGCGCACACCCCAGGGGGTGCACAAGACGATCCATTGGGATGCGGGAAGAAAATAGTAGAACTTCTATTTATATTTATTTTTTATCTCTATATATTGTACATAATATATTAGTACAGTAGTACTTGTATATCATTTATAAATAAATAAATATACATATATTGGGGGTGCGTGCTCAAAAATTTTTTACTGATAGGGGTGCGCGATCAAAAAAGTTTGGAGACCACTGGTCTAGGACAGTGTTTTTCAAACTGTGGGTTGCAACCCAAAAGTGGGTTGCAAGAATATATGAAACAGTTGCAAACAAACTTTAAAAATGGATCAACAAACTTCAAAATTGAATTCTCCTTTCAAGGAAAAAAAACATGGGAAACTGTGGCTTTTCCCTTGCAGGCTGGCAGAGTTGCAGCCTGCAAGGGGTTGCTTGGGCCCCCCCCTGAGCCACACATCCACCCCCTGCCCCACACACTGGGGTGCTGGGACCTGGTGGCAGCAGGTTGGGAGCAAGGGGCACTGGGTCAGGACTGGCCATTGATGTTACAAATGGGTCCTGGGTCAAAAAAGGCTGAAAAGCAGCACACTAGGAGAGTAATCCAGTGAAGACAAAAAGTGGAGCAAACCACTAATCAAAAGTGCCGCTCCAAGCTGACACTTGCTGTCTCCTCCAAGGAGCTCCTCTAAATAGCTACCTTGTAGCACATTCATTGTGGTTGAAGCTAATGAGCCTCCTTGTATGGACAAGGCAGGCAGGATTTGGCCTTGAGTTTTTACTACTTTGCATTCAGCTCTGTGCATAATATTAGCAGACACAGCCTGTCTTCTCCAGGAGGATTATTTAGATTGGGTTAGGTTTTGAGCAATTTCATCTATGATTTAACCTTACTGACCTGAAAACAATTCATGGCATAGTAATGGGTCTGTTGGGTGCACTGCCATTGCCATTGGGCATACTGACAGTTTCTTACTTGAACATATACTTAGGTTTACCACAGTAATCCGTTCCGCAGTGTGGATATAATGTTACCCCCCATTTACCATCCTCATCTATTTCTTAATCAAACTGAAAAATTCTGCATGTTATCATTATAGGGTATTTTAAAATGATAATAGCAGGCTCATTTCACAGTCAGACATTAGTTAGGATGTATTTTTAGGCAGAACAAAAAACTTGTTTAATTTTATCATATTTTTTCTCCAGATAATAATGGCCTAGTTATAGGACAATGCTGAAAGCAAAGTACAAATGAGTGGATAGGCTGTTGGAATAATCCTTAGTAACATTATTAAGAGCCAGAGGAATAATAACCAAGGAATATAATTGGGAAATTTTATAAAAAGTGGTTCTCACGAAAAAATTTCAGGAAATTTTCTGCTGTATTCCTCTATTTTACAGGTATTGCACCTGGATAGTTATCACATATCAAGCAGAGGTAACTTGGGAGATTCACCTGGTGAGTACTTCCATTTTAAGTCAAAAATATATTTGTTCTAATGCACAGTATACAAAGGTAAAAGTAGTTCTGTCTGTCCCAGGATGACACTATACCAGTGTCTAGTGTAGTTAAAGTCAATGGAGAAATCAGAAAGTAAATAAAAAAAAACAAAAACTTGAAAGAAACTTCACAGCTGGTGGAAAGGGCTTGGGGCCAGTGGACATATTCAAACAGCTATTTATAAGTACTCGTCACGTTTTAGTCAGAATGATATTTTTTTTTTTTTTTGCTTCCATGTAATTCATCAAAGTGCAGCCTATCTGTTTATGCCCATGTGAAGGCCTGTATACATCACTGCACATCTGTGCAATCCAGGAGTTAGGCAAGAATAGTGCTGTTTTGCATACTCAAGTACTGCACAGGCTCAGGATGTCAGGCATTTTCTTTGAGGTGCACATGTAAAATAAGTCTAGGCCCAACTGGATTTTATTAGAGAGGCAAAGGCAGGCCCAGTTTCCTAGACATTCCCTTTCTAATGGGTACAGAAGAAGTTGGAGGTATAACCAGGAATTTTGCCACGCTCAGGGGGATTGTAGGGTGGCCAGGACACTCCCCAGTGGCCACCATTCTCGTGATCCATCTAAATTTGCATCCAAGGCCAATACCCTGTTCACCCAACCATACTTAGGTCACTGGGGGTGTGTTTACATGTGCTATTAGCCTCTGGGCATATTGCATGGGAGTTTATTGTTCCCCGGCATGCCGTTTGAATGTGCACCTGGGACCGCAGCACACTGAGCCAGGTTTGAACAACCCTGACGGGCAGAGGGTCAGGCTGTCACCACTGCAAGGAGCTGGGGAAGAGCCATGATACCCTGCTTGCATGCCCCTGCCTAGAGTATGCAGGCTACAGATTGTGGCTCTGCCCTGACTCCAGAGCAAGCTGCCTCCATTGCAAGTTCCCAGCAGCTCCGGAGCATCCCTCTGCGGTGCTCTGCTCTATGCACTGCCAGTGAGGCTCTGTCTGGTCTGTATGACAGACCCAGCTTGAGCTTTCCCATGCAGGTGCGGTTGGGATCTCCATGGAGACCAGCCCAAGCCATGCAGGCAGGGGCAGCTGGGAAATGGAGTCTGAGGCTGACCAGATCCAGCTCACAAGCTAGACTTTACCCATTCTCAGTCTAGGGGGTCAGCCTGCCAGCCTGGGGCTGCTCTGAGCCAGCTCAACATGCTGAAAAGGGGCTGGCTGGAGCAGGACGGTGCTCCAGTGTAGGGCTAGCCACCAGGCAGCCCTAACAGAAGCACTTTTGTGCCCCAGCCAGCTGGGTCAGTGTCTACACATGCACTGCTGCACATGAAAAAAATCTGCTGCAGGAGAGAGTTGGCAACATTTTGTTTCTCTGCAGTGCTGCACTTTGGCATCTGATGATGGTTTTATCCAAGTCCTACCCTGCCGTGGAGTTAATTAGTTTCCTGCAGCCTATTAGGGCTACACGTGTAGATGCAAGACATTTCCTGTGGAGCTATTTCATCTATTCTGCAGTAAACACATATAGATGTGCCCTGGAAGAACTGCAGGAAGGGGTCAAATAACCTGTAAACCAGTGGTTTTCATCTTTTGCCTTATAAGAAAAAACCCCCGCACAATTTCTTTTCCATAGAGCTGAGACATGTCTCCCATAGTCACAACCTTCCACCACCCACCGCTGGCAACAGTGTCCCCTGTGCCAGTTTCTGCTAGCCATAAGCATCATATTGAGAGCCCAGGCTGGAGAGAACTTTGCTACAGAATTTCTCTATGGGTATTCACAAATGTTATACTTAGATGAATCTTTCTAGGGTTAATAGATTGACCTAAGTAACGAACTGTACAAACGCTTGGGAGGTTAGATTGGACAAAAAATGGCTCCTTATCTAACTTAGTTCACTTATGTGAGGATTCTACACCTAGATCAAGCTAACTAGGGTTAAGTCAGTCTAAGTGCCAAACAGTATGGATGTTCAGAGAGTTACAGTTGGGCTTCAGTGGGCTTCATGGTCAGCCCAATCTAATTTTAGTTCACCTAGGAGGCAAGCTATGTAAATTGGTCTAATCCATACCTGATGTAATCTGAATATGTGTATGGCACAACCCTGGATGGACAGGCCACCATCACAGACCCACCAACTTCTCCTCTCCACGGACTTGCTCACTCCACTGCAGACTTGCATTCCCCCTGACTCCCCCCTTGCCTTATTCATGTCCTAAACTGTGACCCAGCCACACGTTCAATCAATAATTGGTCAATTGCTGGTGTGATAAAACGAGAAATAAGCCACAAAGTTGGTCCAAAAAAAGTATAATAATTTTGTGGCTTGTTCTTATAAAGCCATTAATTGAACATGTGGTCAGATGCTCCTTTGTGGGTGGTAGCCCTGTCAGCTGATGCAGATCCCAACCACAGGGGCACACCAAGCACTGTTGTGACTGAAAGTCCCATAGCTGATAAGGCTCACAGACAGTGGAGTGTCCCATGCACTCCAGCAACTGGAAGTCCTGCAGCTGACAGTCATAGCAGCACATGGGGCCCTCCTACAGCTGTGAGCCCCTTCAGCTATGAGACTCCCAGCTGTGGGAACTTGCTACTTGCCAGCGAAGAGCAAGTAGCAAACTTATGATCCTGGGCTTCTCCTGCACTGGAATAAGCCATGATCGGATGTGATGCAGGATCCCACAGTCACACAACTGGGTGGATTGCGCATCAGATTCTATCGCAGCTTTACTTGAACTTCTAGCAAGGGCCTCAGTCAGAAAAGGGACAACCTTAAGTACAATGTAACCTGTTCTGAGTTGCTTAGCTGCAAGTTTGTACTACATACCTGTGGATGAGGAAGAAGAATGTAGCTGGAAAAATGAGTGAAAGGAGGTCCCATTCTTTTTTTTTTTTCATCTCACATCTTCTCATGTCCACTTGTTAGCTGTTATATTTTGCTGTTTTTGTTGTATGGACTGTGTGTAAACACAAAACAATGGAACTTACCACTACTTATATTGTTGAACATGGCTCAGAATGCAAAATGCAGCATGCATTGAGCTTTTCTACAGAGCATTTTCCAGAGAGATCTTTTTCCATTAAAAACAAAAGACCCTTGTGACAAACCAAAAATGTGAATTAAAAAAAATGTCTGCTTTCCTCTTAGCTTGTGGGTCTTGTCAATAACGCAGCTCATTTTTCTCTTCAGATTTCTATTTAATCAAAAAAGCCATTTGCCACTCAGTTGGAAAAGCCTAAACATAAAAATGAAAACTTGGTTCATGATTTTTTCAAATTATTTTCACATGTAGACCTGCCCATTGTGTCTAAAATAACTGAAATCCCTGAGCCTGCTATTAAGTAGGTGAGAGTCTAAAAGTGCTGGGGTTGCCAAAGTGAGGAACACAGCTCCCTGGTGATGGTAGAGTATGGTGACCCTTGGTAGTAATGAGAAGCAACAGTGACCCCCAGTAGCAGCGGTGGACTTCCCAAGATAGAGCAACAGCAAGCCCTAGCAGCAGAGCAGTGACCGCATGTGGCAGGCTCACGATCGCTGCACTGGTGGCATTGTGCTCTGCCTATCCAATTTTGCCACATCAGGGTCTACTCACCCACCACAACTTCTTATTATCAGAGGTTTTATCTGGAGGTATAGTTTCATAGTTTCATAGTTAGTAGGGTCAGAAGGGACCTGAACAGATCATCAAGTCCAACCCCCTGCCATGGCAGGAAAGAGTACTGGGGTCAAACAATCCCAGCAAGTTTAGCCTTGTCTTAAAGACCCCCAGGGTAGGAGCCAGCACCACTTCGCTTGGAAGTTGATTCCAGCTCCTAGCCGCCCTGACCGTGAAGTAGCGCCTCCTGATGTCTAATCTGAATTTACCCTCTGCCAGCTTGTGACCGTTATTCCTGGTGACTCCTGGTAGTGCTCGGGGAAACAGGGACTCCCTCAATGCCTGCTGGTCCCCTCTGACTAGTTTGTAACAGGCCACTAGATCCCCCCTCAGCCTTCTCTTATGGAAGCTGAACAGGTTCAGGTCCTGTAGCCTCTCCTCATAGGGCCTGCCCTGCTGCCCCCTGATCATGTGAGAGGCCGTCCTCTGGACCCTCTCCATGTTGTCCACATCCCTCCTGAAGTGCAGGGCCCAGAACTGGACACAGTACTCCAACTGTGGCCTGACCAGTGCTGCATAGAAGGGGAGTATCACCTCCCTGGACCTGCTTGAGATACATCTGTGTATGCATGACAAGGTGCAGTTGGCCTTCCTGACTGCATCCCCACACGGCCTGCCCATATTCATCTTGGCATCAATGATGACTCCAAGATCCTTTTCTGCCTCTGCACTGATGAGAAGGGAGTTCCCCAGCCTGTAGGTATGGTGCTGGTTCTTCCTCTCTAGGTGCAGCACCTTGCACTTGTCAGTGTTGAAACCCATCCTGTTCTCAGCCACCCACCCCTGTAACCTATCTAGGTCCTATTGTAGCCTATTCCTTCCTTCTAGCATGCCCACATCCCCCCACATCTTAGTGTCATCAGCAAATTTGAACAGGGTGCTTTTAATATATAGGATGCGTAGTCCCTGGTGTCTCTTGGACTCAGGGTGATGTTCGTGGCGCTCCTTCTGTGGGGCTCTTCCTCCCCTACTCCCCACCCCTTTCTGCTCAGGTAGTATGAATTAGGCCTTGGTGATATCCTGGTGTAATGAAGATGCTTTGTCACTCCTGCTTTAAGGCCTTGCCTATCGGCTGACAGCAAGGATATAGCGGTAGCTTCTCAGGCTAACAAAATTATAACTAAACTGTACTTTAAAGCAAACAGTTGGGACAATGCAAAAGGCAGGGCAGTGATGCCCATTCCATCCAGTGCTTTGTCTCAGTGTCTGGGACTTCTTAAAAAAGGATTCACAGAGTTCTTATACAGTCCCACATTGTGAGGGCCTCTGTGTCAGATATGAGTCTGGGACAGCTAGCGCCTGGCCACATATCAAAGTGTCCTGTGGGTCACTCCTCCACGTCCCTGTGATACCCACAGGTTGGATAACTCCCCCCTGGTGAGCTCTGGCTCTGTGGTCACTCAGGCAGGGTGAGTAGATTTAAAGAGGGCCCAGATAATGTCTTTCCCCCTGTGGACCCTGGCAGGATGGCCATGGCCCTCTCCCAACCACAGGTGACCTGCACTGTTCTGTGAGCATCTTTGTGTCTGGGTGTAGGCAAAGTCAGGCCTGAGTTCTCAGGGTCATCAACTGCTGCTCCTACATTGCCACCAGGGCTGCCTCTTTCCTGACTGGGCCAGTCTCTGCATGGTCAGGCTCACCAGGGTTTTCTGCCCTGCTGAGGGGCTCCGGTTCCTGGCCAGTTGTCAGGCGCACATTCAGACCCCCCCAATGGCTGCAGTAGCGAGTCAGGCAAGTGCCACTGTGCCAGGCAACAGTGGTGATTCATAGGGCACACCCTGAGAGTGCCAGTGCACCCCCTGACACACTGCGCTCCCTGCTTAGGCAACGGGCAGGGGGGGCAGGCAGGAGTGCTGGTGCCCCCCCTGTAAGCACCTGCTAGGGAGTGGGAGTGCTGGATGAAACGCTGTGGTGGCTTTCAGGAGCACCACGGTTGCTTCCCAGCTGGCACGACTGTCTGTGGGGGGACCCCCCCTCAGCGTGATCAGCTGTAGGGAGACCCATCCCCCTTTGGGCGATATTGGCTGTGGTGGGACCCCCTGCTCCCGTGACTGGTGTCACCTTAGTCAGAGGGGGCACATGCCCCCCCCCCAGCGACCAGTCACCCATGCCAGGCAAAATCCCATGAGGGAATCACACTAGCTTTGTTCCAGCTGCAGAGGAGCATCTTTCCACTGCCAGTGCTCCCTTTTCTCCTTTCATTTGTTTGGCTTCTAGGCTCTTTTTAAGCCTAGAGCTGGACCAACTGATGGGGCCACTTCTGGCTGTCTGGTGCTGGTCAGCTCATCAGCAGCCCAGCCACAAGGACATGGGCACTGAAGTAAGTGGGGTGTGAGCCTGCCACACCCCAATAGTAATCCCCAGCTGCAGAGCAGTGGCAACTCCAGTACAGGTCTCACTCCCCAGCATTCATCACTTTTGACTGGGGTAGATGGTACTGATTCTGGATGGCAGTCCAGAATGTCTGGAGTGAATGTCTGTTACCAGCAGACTGTGCTCAGTGGTAGCTCCCCTGGGCTTGTTTGCCAGTGACTGAGAGAGATTATTAACTGTTTGAGGTTTTAATTAATGTTTAATTAAGTTTTTGTGTAAGTCTGTGTATTTCCTTCCCTTTTTCCTGT